ATATCAAAAATTTTCGAAATTTTAAATCCGAAAAAGATATTCCGTGTAAATTTTCGGATGCAAAATTACATGGGGTATGATTTTTTTGGACGTAAATTTTCGATTGTGAAATTTCTCCCAACTTCTTTACAAGCTCGATTGTGCCCCCTAACTTTAAAGTTTTGCGACCTCCCCTGGTTAAGCCTGATAGCTCCATTAAGACCATCAATATAATATTAACATTGGATCAAGATTTAGAATATAGTTGTCAAATCTGAAGTTAAAATAAAATCAAAGTCTACGCTCCATGATCCGAAGTAATTTGAAGAATTGATTGTCAATGCAATATTGCGTGATTTGGTATCTTACATATATAAAATCACTATCCAAACTCCAAAGTAGATTCCCATGAAAAGGAGTTTGTGCCAAGAAAGTCCTTTTTTTCTACCTTTTGTAACTTGCATACACAAAAATATAAGCTTAAACAGATATTAATACTTCGCCTAAAAGTAAAAACTTATGCATGGAATGAAAAGGAAAACATAGTCGTTCTTGTATGAAAAAAAAAATTATGATAAAATCTAATTTTTAGTAGATTTTGAAAAAAAGTTAATGAAATCTGTAATTAAAAAGTTGTGAGTTTCATAAAATAAATAAAAGAGCATTCTTAAATGCTTTAAAAAGGGACAAAACAAAAGCTAAATGAGTGATATTGATTGTCTAGTTAATAAAAAAAGCATCCTTCTTACAAAAAAAAAGGCATCATTTTTGGGCGTTTTAAAGAAAATCAAATAATAAGTCCCTATTTGGTACACAGTATTTTTTCATTCTCATTCTTCTACTCATTTTCAACCACACATTTTTCAATAAAATAATATTTTCCATCACATCAATAAATTTTCTTTCCTTTTCAACCACACATTCTCCATCAATTTACTATTCCATAATACATTCTTTCAAAATAACGTGGATCAAACACACCCTAAATCTTATTTTTAATAAATTTAGAGTGACCAACATATTCTTTTCTTTTCTGCATTCAATACATCACTAATTTTAAATAATAAAATCCTTAACTTTGGTAATTTTAATTTTGGTCCCAACCTCTCTTTCCTAACTTTTTTACATAATTACTGATAAATTTAGAAGCTCTCGCTGAAGCTACTCAAATCCCATTCTCAAGTCATTGGAGCAATTATTTTTTCCTTAATTTTGAGTAAGCTCGGAAGTTTCTAGGAATTCAAGTAGATTTTTAACACTATTTTAAGAACACGAAGGTTATCCTTTTGGCATAAATTGATGCAATTTCTGAATGAGCCGATAAAAGAAATGTTGTGATTCTCAATTTGAATTGAGTATGACGTTATGTAACGTAGCAATATTTTTAAGAAGAGGAACGCTATGTATACATTTTAAATAAATTGAT